TAAACTGCCCAGTGAGCCTAATGGGCTATGGGGCAGTATACAAGCGTAACAATATTTTGTTTAAAAGATGCCAATCTGCTCTAGCTTCGTAAATGTCTCACCATTCATGTCTTTAATCAGTATGGGATAAGAAAAAATATCCTTGACTTTAACACAATACCTTTGTTATTCCTACTGCTTTGAGCTATTAGCTAGATAGTATGATTTACAGGACGTGAAAGATTTGCCCCAGAAGTTACAAAAACTGTTATTTCCCTAAATTGTGTTATTATATTTATATTCCACTTTTTTTCTTTTCAAGGAACTCAGGAAGACTTACATAGTCCTCCTGTTACTCTTAATCTTATCCTTACAGCTACCACCCTATGAGGTACGTTGGGCTGACAGTCTGTACCTGACCCCAAGTCACCCAGTTACTTCCATGGCCAAGTGGAGAATAGAACCCAGATCTCCTAAGTCCCATTGGTTTGTTTGGTTTACACTCTTTAAAGAGATTCCCCCCTCCTTTTCTTCTTTTTTCTTTGCCACATCATATGCAGTATTAAACACTGGTGAAAATTAACAACAGTTGTCAAAGTAACTATTCCAGTAATATAGGGTGGCTCACACTTTTACATGTTCCTCAGATGGTAAAATTTTGGGAGCATGCAAAACTCAGGGCATACTTGGGACACATGAGTTCCCCCACAAGGGGTTATCACAAAGGGGACAAACAATGCGCCACCTTTTATTCACAAGCTAAGATGACCTGTACCTTTGGTTACACTGGGCAGCTGTCAGAAGTAACCAAAGGAAAAGCAAATCTTACCTACTTCTTTTGTGGGGCAATGCCCATACTAGGTACCTACCGGACTTTGCCAGCAGGCACCTCCTGCACTTCACCCACCCAAGACTTCCTATTTCTGAACATACCCAGTTGTGTGGCAGATTTTTTAAAAATGTGCAAGTAATTAAGAAATTAAGGTTAAAAAATAACCTGCTTGGCAATCATAAGCGGCCCCTCCAAGATGCCACTGGGGAATTTTGAAGACTTGTCCAAAAGGGGGTCACAAAACCTTGACTGATAGTTGGCTTTTGCACTCTAAAGAAAAGAATATGTAAAGGTGGAAAAAAGCTGCAGTGACCCCAAAATAGATTATGTGGAGAACAGGGAGGCAACTTGGTTCTCCTAAGGAAAGATAAATGGTGATGGAGGGGCCAGCAATCTACAGGAAGTCTGATTAACTGTCAGGTATACCATGGATTGTTTGCACAACAACCAACCCATCATGACTTATTGCCAGTGTGTTAGTTTGACACGCAAACATGTCCAGGGCTTCTAGTTAGGAAAAAGTTAAAACTTCTTATTTTCAGAATGTAATTATGACTTAAATACATGCCATTTTGGCATCTTTAGTTAACATGTTTCAATTGCCAAAGCTATGAAAAACCCTGGCAGGGTGTTCCTATTTCTGGATGTCCCTATTATAAAGTACATCCAAGCAGTACCACTTAATAAACCCAAGTATAAAAGAAGCAAGATATAGGCTCTGTAACCAAGTTTAGTGATTTTTATGCTGGTGCTGTTCTCTCATACAGCTTCAGAGCATCCTAAATTCAAGGTTTAATAAAATGTATAAAATCTAAATTAGAATTACAAAAAGCCACTACCAAATCAAATTAGTATTTCTAAATTTTCAGCATGTGCACATGTTTACATATGGCTACAACACTTGTTCACTAAGGTGACTAAAAGAAAGAAGTCATTCATACAGATTGATACACAAATACTTCAGATTTGATATAAATATGTTATTCCACTCCTTCTAAGGCACCTGTTCAGAAGCCTTGATTATTGTATTGAATATCACCAACATAATACTTATGAGAGACATTAACAATAACTGCTCCTAAGGAACAGTACTTAAAACACTTAGGATGTATTATCTACATGCTTTACCACAGAGAAACATAACAGTTCACCCAATGCATCACAGAATTTAGCATTTACTGAATAAATAAAAGGAAGGATACTACTTTATCATGCTCCCTAACCTACAAGCCTTGCATGTGTGCCTACAGCAATAAAAGGAACTAGAAAATACATAGCCTCTCCCTGACTTCTTTCCACTTGCCCAGAATCCTAAACAAGTAATGGAAGTAAGACGAGATTATGTGTACTTTTCCTGCCCTTGTCTACTATCTCCACAAAGCTACCACACCAAGCAGATGAGAAGTGACTGAGAAACAGGAATCCTTTTGCCCTGGTTTTCATGCCATCTTGCAGTCTCTAACAGAGCAACTGAAGTTGCTACATAACATTTGTACTGAATCAGGATAGAAGTGGAGAACCCAGTGTAGGCTGTGTGCTTCTGTGAATTCACAACACTAGTTTTCTATGATCTTATAGTCAAAGAGTGCATGTTGTCACAAAACCTAGCAAAATCAGTGTTTAAATTGATCTTCCTGTACCATTATATATGAACTTGGTATATCATGAAAAAATAACTTTCTTTTCAAAACAGTGTTTTTTCCCCTGTCAAGGAGTAAAAGTAGCCCATGTGATTACAAACTTCTATTACCAATTCATTATGAAACAGTAACTACTCAAAGCTACAACTTGGTCGTTAAATCAAGCATTAGTTTGGATTATGATAAACTTTTTATTATTTAAAACATTTGCATGTAAGAATAATATATAGCTAATAATAATGATGTAGCTAATCAATTTTAAACCTATAGGTATTCATGGAATATATATTAAATAGCAACAACTTGCCCTGTTCATGTAATTGTTTAAATATACTTCTTATCAGCTAATAACCTTGAAACCTATATATAAAAAAAAAACCTCAAAGAACCTGGAACCTATTAACTGATCAAAGCTTAACAAAGCAATTACACATGTTAAAGAAGTTAGTATAGTAGCAAAGCCGAATGATAAATTAAGGGATGCCAACCGAGTATAGAAGTTCCTGCATTAACACAGACTTCTGAACTTATGCTTGCCAGGAATACAGCTTACCTCAGTGAGCTGACATATGTTTAAATACATGGTAACCTGTCAACACCAGCACTGGAACACATGTTAATATTATCTTTTTGCCATGTGTTTAACTAATTATATAGTCATACCCTACAATTAATGGGAGGCCCTTTTAAAGAGAATTCAATGCCCACACACATGAAACATACACAAACAATATAACAATTTTTGTACTATCTGGGCAGAAACCAATATAGTACCAGAAAGGAAATGAAAAATTTCAGGCATGCTCCAAAGTGCTTTGACAAACTATGTAATCCCAAACAGACTGAAATGTCTGAACAGTGACATGTTAGTGTTATCAAGACATAAAGTCACCAGTTCAAATTTGGTTAGCACATACAAATATTTAGTATTTTCCAACTCGTACAAAGAAAGCTAGTTTTATCAAGCCACTAACAAAGGACTTGAAAAATCTATTTATATGCACACACTGGACAGCCAGTGGATAATGGCTATTAACAGAATCAAAGATGTATAAACAAACAAGGTAAGAATCATGTGAAGCAAATGAACACCTTGTGAATACAAGCTTCAATAATTGCACAGCTTGCCACTGGAAAACATATTCCCCTAAAAAGTTTAGTAAAGAAAGTACTTAAATTCCTGATTAAGTTACTGACATTTTGTCTCACTAAAAGAAGTAGAAGCCCGTATCATATGAATCTTATTGTATTACATTTCAAAGAGCTTGGCAACTGTTTGTCATTAATCTTTAACACAAAGGAAATTCAAATACAATGCAAGTATTTGGGGGGAAGGGATAATTTAACCCCAATCCTCCTCGTAGTTCAACTTAAAAGAATAGGCTTTCTGGAAACCTGAAGAAAAGCCTGTCCCATTTCTAAATATTGCGTCAAAGCAAAGAGGTGGTTACTGAATGCAAAATACCGATTTAAAAAAAATATTTTCCAAATGTAAGGAGCGCCTTCTCAGGAGTTAGCTATGAATGAAGGGAGGATACCGAATCAGTACTGTCATTAAAACCCTTTAAAAATCCCAAATATAAAGATATATTCCTTGTTGCTGGGGTGCTTATGTGCGTGTGCACGATTTTCTTCTATTTATCGATTACACAAAGAAAAACCCAGCAGGGGCTGCTGCAATGCAACACACACCAATTTGAGTGAGATGCTTTTCCACTTCGCCTTGAAATCTGTAGCGGTAGCTAACACCTAGGTGATTCCATGTCTTGTTTCCAAAAGCGAATAAAGGACGCTGAAAATCGAGCTTGGCCTTTTTCGTCCTTTTTCTTTTGGCCCCGATCGCTCCCCACCGCCCCGATTATGCTGACTTTCAGCCCTCTAAATGAAGTGTTCTCATTTCTCCCCCCCCTCCTCTGCGCAACCCCAAAACCCCTTCCCTAACCCTTGTTTGCAACAAAAGCTTTACACGCCAGATGAGCCATTAGTATCCCTACGGACACACCATCAGCACAATCCCGTTTCTTTTCCCCTACCGGCAAGCGCGCACACACTAACTTCCCCCACTTTCTAGAGAAAGGAACAATGGGGGGGGGATCAGACTAGGGCAGCGGTAATTCAACGCAGAAATTCCATGCAACGGGAGGAAGAGAAACAAAAATGCGTGTCAAAGCGGTGGGGGAGCAAACGAGCCCCCCTCGCGCTTTTCGCCGCAGCTCTTTCCCACAAAGCAGATCGACTCTTCCCAGATCCCGCCCGCAGCTTTCCTATTAGGACCCCCCCCCACCCCGACACACGCTTTCCTCACCCCTCGGAGCCCTCGCTCCATTCTGAAGGGGCCTTTCCAAACCAGCCCGCTCAGGCTGCTCTTTCTACATTTCAAAAGCCTTTTATTCCGCCCCCCCCCCGCGCAGCCCTCCGTCGCAACCTTCCCACCGCCACGGACGGACACACAGACTGCCTCAACAAGGCCCCTCTCCCTTCCTCCATAATGGCTTTCCTCTTTCGAGGGAGGGGACAAAGTTAAATAGAGGAGCCCCCCCCGTCTTCACCTCATGTTGCTGCCCAAGGCCGGGGGGGCGTTCTCCCCCCCCGCGCTCGTCGCTCTTCTCTCCTCAGGAGCGGGCCGGGTTGTCCTCAACAGGCGACGAGTGGGAAAAGAAGAAATAGGAGGGGGTGTTTCCCCCTCAGGCGCCAGCCAGTCCCTGCCTTAGCAACCCCTCAGACGGACTCGCCTGCCTTGCCTGCGCCCTCCGACTTGGCGGCTTGGCCCAGGCCGACCACAGCGGGGAGCCGAGAAAGGGAGGGGAGGGATCGCACAGGGAAGGAAGGAACAAGCCGATACTGGAGGCGCCAGCGGGAGGGGGACGGAGAGAGAGGGGGGGGAGAGGAAGGTAAAAGCGTCGAGAACGCGGCGGCGAACACCGCGCAAGCTGCTCGCTCGAGACACCGGCTCGCGGGGGGAGGGGGCGCGGCGGCAGGCGCGCAGGGGACGCCAAGGGGGCGGAGCGGAGGAAGCCGCGCCCACTTCGCTGGTCTGCATTCCCTGTGCATTCCATGCTGGTTGCAACGCGGGGGGGGCGTAGAGACGTGGGCTCGACCAACTGGGAAGGAGGACGGACGCCACCGCCCCGGTGAGCAGAGGCTCCCTAGCGACCCCTGCTGATCGCTCGTTGCACACCGAGGCGTGGGCCGCGCTAGGCACTTTCTTTGTACAGGGTGGTCGCGGTACTATGCACTTTTATACATAGAGGGGAGAAAGTCCTGCGTCTCCCAACATTCCCTAGCCACCATAGCAGATGCTGAGAGTTGTAGTACTTTTATTTTTCCAGTGTAACCGTGCATTGTATTACGCTCTAAGGGCTGATTTTCTCAATTAAAGGAGCTGCTTCGCTATTGTGCGTCCTTTTCGCACAAGTTATGGCACGGATTACGGAACTCCCGTTGGAAGAGTGCCTCCGGTTCTCTCTGCCTGGGTCTCAGCACATCCTACCGCATTTGTTAACAGCTGCATGCCGTGTGGGTTACTAAGGACACGTGGATTGCATATATTACTGCTCAAGCTTCTGATTATTATTCAGTCCTTTTCTATAGCGGACCTTCCTTGAACGTGATATTATTTTAAATGTGCTTGTTTTTCCTGCTTACCTGTTCAGTGTGTACCTTATATTTCATTATGGTTAAACTTCTGGATGAATTCTTAGCATGTTTCCTCTGTTTCAGTGCATAAATCGCTTCCTTCTAATGCCACTACCCAGCTGAGATTCACGTTGGCAAATAGGACTCATGTTTCATGTCTATGCTACGACTTCTTGCTAGTATCATATTAAAATATGTTGGTGATATGCTGTGCTTAGACAAATATTCAGTGCATTTGCTTGAAAGTCATCCTCATCTATTCAGTGGAACTTACTCCAAGAGAGAACATTTACAGAGCAATCCTATGCATACCTCTTGAGAAGTAAGTTCCACTGTCTTCAAAGGCACTTACCCCCATGTAAGTGAAGATAGGAATGCTGCCTTAAGGTCACAACCTGCCATCCATCCACACTTATTTGGAATGTATGCTGCACTGAATTTGGAAGGATCCAGCTTCCAAGCAAACATCCTAGGACTGGATTGTATAGCTGTCTGGTTGTACCAAAGTACTCAGGCTTGCTGCCCAATCTCATCTCTGCCTGTCTGGAAACAACCCTAACTAAATTTGACAGAGCTGAGTCCTACATAAGAGCTTATCATGACAGCTGTGTAAAATTAAGACAACCAGGAATCAGAAAGATATCTTCCTGGAATATTAATATTATACCTCACCTTTTTTTCCTGCAAATAACCCAAAGTGGCTTACATCATTCTGCTGCTTCTTTCCCTTTTATCTAATACCTCTGCAGGATAGGTTAGGCTGAGAATCAGGGACTGGCTGAATATCACCCAGTAACCTTTGGAGACTAGAACCTGGATCTCCTACTCCAACACTAACCACTAAGTAATGCTGGCCATGAATAAATTATTGTATCTTTCTGTTCCTTCAGATTCTCACATGGAAAAAATGGAGCTACCCTAGTGACATTTTCCTTGATTGCTTTATTTCCAACATATATTGCATTTTCATTAAAATCATAATGACATGTTCATCCTTCAAGTCTAAGACTCTGCAGACTTCTTTAGTACTATTTCTTGCATAGTTATTTATCCAGCTTAAACATGCAGCCATCTATAGAAATGATTACTTTTTTTAGCCTTCATAAGAGCAAAGTTGAAGTGTACTAATCATGTAGGAGTAATGACACTGGAAAGAAAACCTTTTCTTTTTGTCTGTAATCAGTCCTTTAGGTCATACATGCCCCAAGTGCTCAAATGCTATGCAAGAAAATGCAACAAAAGGAACCTGATAAAACAAAAAGACTCATGCACTCTTGCAGTTGTACCTAAGGTCAAATCTATGCTTGATATAAACCAACAAAGCTCCCTTTATTTCCACAGAGCTATATTAGGCTGCTCTACAAAAACTACTGGTCTTGTTTTAAAAATATAGTTAACAGGGTAGTACAATCTAAAGTGAGACTTGGGGAGTGATGAATCCTCCATCACTTCCAAAGCCCATGATTGCAGATCAGTGCACGCAATGGGCCAGTGAGGTACAGCAGGAGCGGGTGGGGAAAATGATCTTATTGTTTTGTTTTTTAATTTTCCTTGTTGCCTACACCAGCTCCTGCTTAGCTTTGGTGAGAGGCCCAGTCTTACACACCCTCATGGAAACAAATGCGTCTTAAATCAGGAGCTGCAAGGCCATGTCTGCTCCCTGGAATGTTCCATTTGGAGGTCTGTCTCCCATGGAAAATGGCTGCCAGTAAATCCACACTTACAGAAAATTCTGTGGGTGTAGCAAGGACTGCCAGGACAAATATGCCCAATACACAGTAGTAGAATTCCAGCCAATGCATTTTTTCACCTCAAGATCCTCAATGATGTTTTTATTTGAGTTGAGTTATGTGCTGCATTTCCACCCAAGGTGGCTTAAAATATAAAACATAATAGAAAATATCTCTATTGATTGCCTGATTAGCAAGTGGCCTGATCAGCTAGCAGCAGCTGTGTGGTAAGGTGATTCATTCTGGCTCCTGACTCCTAGCAGAACAGAGCCGAGCAAGCTGCCCCAGCAGGTCTAAGGCCTCTGGGATACAAGAAACCAAGTTCCCAGGGAGTAAGCGACCAGGATGAGCAGACAGGAATTTAGTGGTGGAGTTTGGTGGGAGGGATTCCTCACTTGTTTCCTTTTTCTTCTTTCTATCCCCTTAGTTCCCCCCACACTTCTTTTCCTTCTTGTAACACACTCCCATTTACTAATAGGACTGTGTTATTAACCTTTAGTGAAGACAGGAGAAAGTGCCAGTGGTCACCACAGCCCCCCAAGACAGAATTACAAAGGTAAGGTGAACAATGGACCAAGAAGAGTCCACAGTGCCAGTGATTTGAAACACCTGTGCAATGCTTGTTTTCTTGCCTGAGGGCAACATGGCCTACATGTGTAACAAGTGCAAGCTGGTAACCCTGTTAGACGAAAAGGTGAGAGCATTAGAGCAGCAAGTGTCCACCCTCAAGGTATAAAGAGATTTTGGACAGAGCAGTAGAGCTGCAGCAGCCGAGTGTAGTCCAGAAGCAAGAAGTGCATCAACAAGCTGAGGCAGAGGAAGAAAGCTCTGAGGCAGGGAACATGAGGAAACTCCCTGGAACAGGGTGACAGACTGACGCAGAAGAACTAGAAGACATACTGCACCCGTGGAAGCAGAACCACTTTAAGTTACTTGAGGAAGAGACAACTGAGGAGCCACCATGAAAGAACTACACCCTGAGTACCTCTGGAAGAAAGACAAAGATCAACCCACTAAGGAAAAAGATACCAAGTTTTACAACAACAAAAGGAAAAGAGTGATAGTTGTGGGAGATTCCCTGTTGTGTAAGATGGGAAAATATGTATGTTGCAATGACTCAGAGAATTGCCAAGTATGCTATTTCCTTGGAGCCAAGATTAATGATATATCCAATAAGTACACACATCTCGTACAACTTACTGAGAAATAGCCCTTCCTTCCCATCCACCTGAGAACTAATGGCACTGCCAAGAGAAGCTTTGAGAAAATAACAGACTTCAAAGCTCTAGGGAAGAAAAAAAAAAAATTGGGGCTCAGATAATCTTCTCCCCAATCCTACCAATACATGGAAGAACTTGCAGGGAAGGAGAAATCCTTCAAGTGAATAACTTGTATGATGGTGGAGCTGTAAAGAGAGATTTGGATTCTAGGACCACAAGCTGAAATTCTTGGAAGATGGACTATTAACAAATGATGGGCTGCAATTCACAAAGAATGGAAAGCATGTGTTTGGCTGCTACATAAAAGTTATTCAAGAGGGCTTCAAATTGAAATCCAGAAGGTAGGGAGACATGCAGCATGGCATACCATCACCTAACAAAGGCTTAGGTATTTCAACAGAGAAAAAGATCTCAAGCAGCACCTAACATCAATCCCAAAAAATGTAGGAAGAAGACCAGGGCACAACAAGAATGAACTTCGATGTCTATACACCAATGTCCAGAGTATGGGAAACAAACAACATGAGCTGGAGCTCATAGTACACAAGGGCAATTACAATCTTATAGGAATAACTGAACCTCGTGGGATGACTCACCTGACTGGAACTCTACAATTGATAGATACAACCTGTTCAAAAAAAAATAAAAAAAAAATAGAAAGGACAAAAAGGGACACATATCTGCACAGTAATGCAAGAAGAACTTAGTAGCCCCATTGAAAGCATCTGGCTTAATTTAAAGCGAGGGGATAAATATATATATTTAAAAAATAAATAAGATTTTTAAAAATTTAAATTGGATTTTAAAAAATAAAATGCTTTTGAGGAAAAATCTATCTAAAAATATAGTTTTCTGGTTAGGATACATTACAGTCCAAAGGTTATTTATCATGAAATAAGGATTAGTTTTTAAGGATTAGGCTATATATTCATGCAATGTTTAAATGTTTTGGTAAATGAATTCCATTAATCCATTCACAATGTCATGCTCTTCCAGAGGTTTCTGTACGATTATTGGGCAATTTTTCTATCTAGAAGATATTATCCAAGATGACTGGTTTTGCAATTCTCAACTGTGAATTTGTCTCTTCTTCACAGCTAAATATCTTATAAAATTAATGGAGTTGAGGAAAAAGACATTAATCCCTTTGTTCCTTTGCAAAGCTATGTACAAAGAATCAACCCTTTACCTCTTAAGTGCTAAGTTGCAAAAAATGCAATGAATAGGAGAAGATTGTTGGGAGTGGAATAGATCTGCACAAGAAGCTAAGTGTGAGGAGGAAAGGGAAAGCAGTGAAAATGAAA